GTCTCTGTGCTATGATGAGCTCTAAATCCTGACTGAAAATCCTCAAATAAACTATTGCTCTGTAGAAAGTCACACAGCTGTTTAGCAACTGCTTTCTCATAGATATAGGTCTATAGTTGGCTAAAACATCCGGATCAAGTTTGGGCTTTTTCAGAAGAGGTTTAATTACAGCTACTTTAAAGTACTGTGGTACATAGCCTGTTGATAAAGATAGATTGATCATATCTAGTATAGAAGTGCTGACTAAGGGTAAAACTTCTTTAAGCAGCCTAGTCAGGATGGGGTCTAAGAGGCAGGTTGATGGTTTAGATGAAGAAATTATTGAAGTTAGTTGGTAAAGATTGAGGGAAGCAAAGCAGTCTAAACATATATCAGGTTTTACAGCCGTTTCTAAGGTTCCTGAGTTTAGAGATATGTCGGTGCCAGTTGAGGGCCGGTCTTGGTGAATTTTGTTTCTAATAGTTAGAATTTTATCATTAAAGAAGCTCATGAAGTCGTAACTACCAAAAGCTACGGGAATACTTGGCTCAATAGAGCTGTGACTCTCAGCCTGACTACAGTGCTGAAAAGAAACCTGGGGGGGTTCCTATTTTCCTCTATTAATGATGAGTAGTACGCTGCTCTGGCATTACAGAGGACCTTCCTATAAGTTTTAAGATTATCTTGCCAAATTAAACGAGACTTTTCCAGTTTGGTGGAACACCAATTTTGGAACTACAATTAACATAGTTTAGGCGGATGTATAGGAAGTATAATGTTACCATGAGCCTAATTTTTTTGTTTTTACATTTAGTCAAATTGGTAACAAAAGTACTGAAGTCCATATCTGCATGTGCCCACGGATGTACAGACAATCATCACTGGAATAATTTGACACTAACAAAAACTTTAAAAACGTGATGATTCTCAAGCAAGTCCTGGAGTTATAACAACTTTTTTTCTATAATTTCTAAGTGAATTTTTGGACTTCTATTCGCAATTTGTTGTAAAGAGTAAGTCACAATGAATTTAAAAATAAACACCTGTGTTCAGATTTGATTGAATTATGACTCTGACAAGGCGCACAATTTTAACTATCCTGCAACACACTGTGAGGCAAGCCTCACAGTTTGAAAACCTCTGTCTATGTAGTTCTGTATTGTAATTTTGTAGTATATCTCTGTGTGTACATTTTGGGCTGCACTGTAGAGTCTTTAGCTAAGACAAGTGTAAACAATGAGAGTTGAAATAGATTAAGCCTGCACTATTCAGTTTTTGTTCTATTTTTGCAAACCTCTGACTGTGGTTTGTCCACATTATCTTTGGCAAACAAGACCCAAAGCATGACCTGCATGCTCCTCCATCACATGTTGTTCTCCCTGGAGACACGTTTCACTGCATAATGTGATAGATAGCTTGAGACAAGCATTTATGAGTGGATTTTTCAATGTTCCATCTTAAATAAATTGATTTTCTAGCAGAACTACACTTTCATACTCAGGGCTGACTGCAACAGACACAACCAGCTGCAAAATACCTTCTCTTTAACAGTGTCTGACATTTCAGTTTATGGGCTATTATTGCCATGCATCTCACCAAAATTATATAATTATCGTGGAGCTGTCAACCAAACTTTGTTTGGATTCAGACTATTTCCACAAAGTGACAAATTTCAATGCCAATGGTTCACATGTGCTTCAACCTTTACAGCAGAGTGTGTACTAAAAGGCAAATGGACCCATTACAACTGAGAAAAGGGTGGCAGATTCTTCCTAATAGCTCTGCTGTAATGACCCTGTCATCTGCTCGATATTGACCTGTTTCCTAAATATTACTGGATCTACTTGGCCATCATTCAGCCTCGGCAGGCCTCTGCTGAGAAGTGTGGACCCTCTGATAAGTCGACCCTCTGGCTTAAAAGATCACAAGCCTAATTTAGTCTTTTAGAAGCTTATTTGGCTTCAGGCTATCTGACTCATCACCACCTTTCAAGTCATTAACAAAACCCCCTGAGTCATGAAAGACTTCTTACCGTCGATGGTGAATGAGAGTGACATAACTCTATATCTCTTGTAACCACAGTCAGTTGTTGTTGCTTATATAACAATGTGACCTGTAACGCTGATACTGGCAATCAGGAGTGCTAATGTGCTGATCCAGTCTGCTAACCAACTGATATGAACATCATCTACAAGCCAACAGAATTCCAGTTCATCAGTCTGCCTGCTGACCCTGCAGCCCCTGACCTGTGATCACCTGCCAAGACTGGTTCCAGAGAAGCTGGGCAGCAAGAAAGAGACTGGCCAAGTGTGATTTACCCCCTGCTGTGTTTTTATTATTAACCTGATCTTATGACAAAGATACAATGGCATACATAACACGTGCACTTACAGAGACACATGTTCCTTTGTTCTGGGCCTTCAGACATCTGCTAAGGGGAAGTTATGCACAGAATTAGCCAATAGCAAAGGTGGGTGTATCTGTGTACATGAGTAGTTGCAAGAAGTTTGAATTTGTCAAATATAAACTTACAAGCTCACTTCGTGCGCGCATGCACGTACGCACACACACACGTCTGCCTTTTCTACTCTTTCCAATTTTCCGGAAGTCTGCTGGAGCCTCCCACTGCTCTGGGCCCCAGCGGATGACTTCTTATTGTGGGTTTGGAGCCCCAGAGCAATTAGATGAGTTTATGGTAAGCGCTAAGAAGCGGAGAAGCTTGTCATTCTGTCAGAGTTGATTTCCTCCTTGCTCTAAATGCCGACCTCTCTGGGCTGCCAAGGGTGGACGTGGGCCACAGCTATGTATTTAAAAAAAGAGTTGAGGGAAGTGGAATGTTCTTGAACCCTGCAGTGATTCAGTTTTTACTTCCTGTCACTACATTTAGTTGCTAAGTGATTTGAGCCAAAACATGCCTGGCTATGTAAATAATTTTTATCCAGTAAAAGGGGACTGATGGGAACTTGCAGATTTAGGCTACTTTTGTGTTAATATAGTAGATTAGTGAAGCATTCAGGGTTCTGCCTGGATTCTGCTCTAACAAAATGATTATTAAGATTTTGCCAGATACCGTACAATGCTTGTATTTTGAATAGCAAAAAAAAATCCCCAAGGCTGAACATCCTGTCATATTCACTGAGCCACAATCAATCATCATGTGATCAAGTGCTGTGGGAGCTTGTAGGTATTCATAGGCTGCAGATGTAATCTGTATAAATGCACAACAGCTTCAAAATACAAAAGAAATATAATATCAAACAAAGTTGAGGTAGTCTGTCATGGCATGACACAATGAATGAGTGAAATCCAAAACATTCCTTCCACAAGGACAGTAAAAACACATTCTAAACAGTAAAAGCACTATCATCGCATTCCCTACATGAATGAAAAAAAACCTGCTCTTGGGACTGCACCTCCCTGTGCAGTCCCAAGAGCGTTTCCCAACACTGTTGATGTCTTTTTTTCCGAGAGCTGTGCCAACAAAATACTTCATCCTCTCCACCTCTGAGGCCTGTGTATCCTCCTGAGTCTTTCTATGAAATTCACCTCTTTAGCAAAGTATTTGCTGGGAAAACTAATTAAACACAGTTACACAATGGAAAGGGGGCCTTATGTAACTTACACCAGCAATGCTGTGGCCCAAATGTAACAATTTTCACAGCCCTGAACTTGAATACCTCCTATCTGCACACGAATAAACAGACGTAATGTAAATACAACATGGAGTGTTGCCTCTTCACATCTGCAAGGATTAGAGATGGAGTCCTAAAAAAAATGGAGGTGAGGCAGACTACTCCGAGACAACACATATAAAAGGTCTCCAATATGCAACATGATCAGTTACGTTAAGTTACAAATAAAATGTACATGTGGCCATATTTATCTTTCAATATTCTAATCTAATACATATTGCATTGATATCTATGGCCGTTTGTTGAATATGATGCTATTGGCCCCATCTATCACTGCTGTATATTCGTAATGCAGCAGTAACGCAGGTTTTTTGGCTGTGATACATGTGCAGGCATTTTTCAGAGTAACAGTAGAAGGGCAAATTTGTCTGCTGCTGATAGAATATATAGCTAAGACAAATTGATACAGATGATACAAGTTTGTTTCAGAATTAAATTTAAAAAAAAATATGGTGGAAGGGATCCACCGCTGAATTATATATTTCATGTTTTTCTTTGTAAACAAAGTGATGGGATGCAGGGATGTACTAATGCTAGCATGACTATGTAGTCAATATGTGGCTAACATAAGTTCTGCTCTTGTTTGGTATGAGTCAGGAACTACCTAACTTTGGATGCCAAAAGCCACATCTGATCTAATTAGACATATGTAAGTGTCTCTAAAGAAAAATAATAGTTAAAATGTCTAGTGTC